AAACCAATCTCTGTCACCAAAAAGACTGAGGACCTCTGCTTTAAAGGGTGTGCTGTGCTGGCAGGGCAGGACATGGGAAGAGTGATGACAAAGCAAGTTGACAATTAAAAAGAGATGGCTAGGTACATAGTTAGGAAACAGACAATCTCTAATTTTAAGACATAAATTTATTTTTATTTACATTTTTAAAATTTTATTTTCTTTTATACATTCAATCAAATTACTTAGCTTACAAAGTGAATATTTTAACATGGGAACATTTCTCCCTAGTCCAGTTGATAAAACTATAAAATATCTTCAACAGATAATACCACATTTCTTTGACCCATTAATGTTTTGCCTTTCAAGACTTTTATTTAAATACATTGAAATATATGTGTATAACATTTAACCTCTAAAAGGAGTTTTTGGGTGCTAGGTGTTGGCACAGCACTTACACAACTGGATTCATGAAAAAGGTCCTTGATTTACATTCTGGGACTTTCCTTATCACACTCCTGAGATTCAGTGGGGGTCATGGAGTGAAGACCCTATTAGGAGCACCTGTCTCTCTTTCTTTACCTGTCTCTGTGGAAGGAATAAATAAAAAACTTAAAAAAAATAAAAAGAGTTGGGGTCAGTAGGTGGTGTGGTGGTGAAGGCGCTGGACTCCCATATGGTCAACTGCGATTCAAGTCCCAAACCTGGTAGCTAGAAAATCATGCTGGGTGCATGTGCATGTGTGCCCAAAATGGGAAGAGGAAAATAGAGGAGATGAAATTGTGGTATGGCCATCTCCTCTAGAGGATGATTTTTCACTTTCCCTCTCATTGTCTCTGCCTCTCCAGTGAGTATATGCACCCTATGGAAAAAAACCTTAAAATAACCACAAAGGAATTTTATTCATAACTGATATGACTTATCATAGATTCTTTTTAAAAAAATCTATAGGGGAGCTTTGTTTTTAGATTCTTTATGGTGTTTGTTTATAGAGGCCTAAGACATGCTATACAAAAGATAGAGTCTCCCAGGACCAGCAGTTAGTGTAATGGCTATGTTGCTAGACTCCCATGTAGTCTACCGCAGTTCAAATCCCAGACCTAGTGACTTAAACTCACGCTGGGTGCGTGTGCGTGTACGTGTGTGCCCAAGATCCCGAGAAAAGAATGGGGGAGAAAGGATCGCGGCGTGGCCATCCCCCCTGGGGGGGTGATTTCTCACTTTCTGTCTCTCTGTCTCTCTCTGTCTGTCTAGCAAGCACACGTGCCCTATAGCAAAAACCTCTCAAAAAAAAAAAAAAGTCTCCCAATTAAACGTATTTATTTATTTATTTATTTATTTTTTTAAGAGGTTTTTGCTATAGGGAGTGTGAGCTCACCAGAAAGACAGAGAGAGACAGAGAGACAGAAAGCAAGAAATCACCCCCCAGGGGGGATGGCCACACCGCGATCCCTTCTCCCCAATCTCCTCTCGGGATCTTGGGCACGCATGCACATGTGCCCGGTGTGAGTTTAAGTCACCGGGTCCGGGATGCGAACCGCAGTCAACTACATGGGAGTCCAGCGACATAGCCATTACGCTGACTGCTGGTCCCTTAAACATATTTATTTTGAAAGCATTTACTGAATAGTCAATAAATGAAAGGAGAGACCAGACTCTGCCTTTAGAAGTGCATTATCTAATATGGCAGCCACTTGACACATGTAGCTATTGTCCTGGAAATGCAACAAGATGGGTGATCCTTATAAAACACAGCCTGGATTTTGAAGATTTAATATGAAAAAAGGATATACAATATTTCTTAAGTTTCTTTTTACTTTCTAAAAAAGAATTTTGTTATACAGCATGTGCGCTCACTAGAGAGAAGAGAGAGGCAGAGAGACAGAAAGCAAGAAATCACTCCCAGGGGGGATGGCCATGCTGCAACCCTTTCTCTTCCATTCTCCTCTTGGGATCTTGGGCACGCACACACACGTGCCCGGTGTGAGATTTAAGATGCTGTTCCAGAACTCAAACTGCGGTCAAATATGTGGGTGTCCAGCAAAGTAACCATTATGCTATCTGCTAGACCCTTCTTTTTACTCTTTAAAATGTAGTTATTAGAAAAGTTAAAGTTGTTTGTGAAACTTGCATCTGTGGCTCCTAATATTTTTCTACAGATGATGTTTCTTTATAGTTTACTAGAATAGAGAGAATGACATGTAAACAAATTATTATGGGCCAATGGAAGGTACCTATAAAATACAGAGGGAGTGCAGCTAGTGAGCTGGTGTGTTCAGGAAAATATTGTGTCGTCAGAAAAGCCATTTTTCACAGAAAAATGCATCATGACTTTTCCAAAGACCCAATATTTAAGGAGATGGACTATGAGGTAAGTTTTAAAGGAACAACAGGGTTTTGCTAAGTATGTTGTTATGAAGGGCAGATCAGAAAGACAGGTCTATGAAAGGCAGGAGGGAAAGAATTTGAATTTATAAAAGCATCTACTCTAAAGAACCTAGAAGTAGCAAGAAAACAGAGAAATATTATTTTAATAGTTGCATATGGTATAGTTAAGAATGTGTGTAACTTATTTAGACTTATTTTATTTTTTTTCTTGTTATCCGGATGACGATTGTTTCCTTACAAAAGCTCTCAAATACCTGGCATGCACTATTTCATCACGCCACCAGAGGGCACTGTGTTCTAGGATTGAAAAATGCTAATAGGAAAAAGTATTTTCTTGGCTCAGTGGCGTCTAAACTTATGAATGAGAGCTCTCATTTTTGAGCATACAAACTGAATATATATTTACTTATAAATTATAGATAGAATACATCACTAATATAGTATATCAATTATAAGATTACATGCAGAAAAATTGAAATGTAAAAGGCAATAATCAACTGAAGTCCTAGTTTTTTTTTTTTTGGGAATTCCAATGATTTTGTTGTTGTGTGTGTTTCCATATCTCTGATGTGTGCACACCCTACTTTGGATAACACTGGCGTATTTTATAAATTTTATCTTTATAAAGATGAAGGTAACTCCTCCCAAAATCTAGAACAAAATATTTTTGCTGTACCTAAGTATTAAAATATAGATGCATTGTAACATGCTAAACCATTTTAAGCACTGAAATAAAAAGATGAAAATAAAGAAAAAAGTCAAATCTTGTTTGCTGGAGGAATCTATGGCTTTCAATTTTAAGCCAGATTTGGTCTAATATATCAGAATTTAAATGAGTTAAAATATCAGATCAATTATCATATAATTTTTGTTACATATTGTTTAAAATCAGAAGTTAAAAATTTAAAACAGTAATAAACTAAACAGACAAAAGAATAGGTAATAATGATATAATTAGATTAGTGATGGTCCTCATGTCAAAAAAATTAGAATAGAGTTTAAAAAAAAAAAACACAACCTGGGGCTAGCAGTTGGTGTAATGACTATATCACTGGACTCCCTTGTAGTTGACAGTGGTTCGAGTCTCAGACCTGGTGGCTTAAACTCACGCTGGGCGCATATGCGTGCATGCCCAAGATCCTGAGAGGAGAATGGAGGAGAAGGGATTGCGGTGTGGTCATCCCTCTGGGGGGTGATTTCTTGCTTTCTCTCTCTCTCTCTCTTTCTGGCTAGCGCATGCACCCTATAGCAAAAACCTCTTAAAAACAAAACCTAAGAATACCAAAATAAAGGGGGGAAACACTTCCTGACTTTATTAGAGGGTTGTAACTGCATTTTGTCTTCATTTCATGGAACTTTTTTTTTTTTTTTTGATCTGACATTTCTAGCCTTTATCTTCTATAAAAACCACAAAAACAAAAACAAAAAACAAACAAAAAGGAACCACGTGAACTGAGGGTGAGACAAGGGATTGTGGGTGATGGGCAGTCTTCCTGAGCTGCTCATGTTGAGAAGGGGCATTGTCTTTTAGTGCGAATGGGGAGGGATGTGGATCTTTGGAGGCAGGTGTGACTGTCACACCCTCTGGAGGACCAAGATGTTTTCAACCTCCTTTGGGGCCAATTATTGGTTGGTGTCTCTGACGAAACGGTTTAGAATTTTTAGGAGTAAAAGTTCTGCAGAAACTTCAGCTCTTATGACTTCTGGGAGTGGTTAGAGAGGCATTGGGAGATATATTGGGCTCAAGATTTTGTTGTGGGGGGAGGAAAGAAGTGGGAGATGATGGCTAAAGGCTATTTCAGTCTTGGGAGATGGCAAAGAGGCCTCACAGGAGGAAGGAGATAGATGGGGGTGGGGCATATAGAGTGAGTGTGTGGTCTGAGGGGTTGAAGTGACTTATTTTTTTTTTGTAGAGAGTGGCAATCTGAGGAAACATGGTGTGACCTTTAGCGCATACAGAAATGCCCTTCCTCGGGAGCTACTCTAGCAATGGGTATTGAGAAGTAATTACATAGGAAAGCGCTATCTGCCTGTTGGTATCCGTTATCTTCCTGTTGTTGCTGATACCCGATGCTACAGGGCAGTATGAGGCTAAAGGAAGCTACCTGTGTTCATTGGATTCTCCCCCAAAAAGACCAGAGACATTACATGGTGCTAGTCGTTTTCACATCTTCAGAGGATTTACATCAAAACCAACCGACTTTGCATCCCATTTCCCCTTTGCCCATTTTTCTGCCCTTTAAAAGAATAAACCTGAGGCCTGTTCCTGGTTGCAACTTCTCCGTCAGAGAAGCTGGGCCCATCCAATCCTTGCTTTACTATACTTGTGTGTCTTTGTGTGTTTTGTTACCACGTTTATTTCTCATCCACAGCCTTCCCTACTCAGAAAAACGTGTTCAGCAGAGCAGGTCTCTATTTAAACATTTTTTTTTTAATATGATGAACTTTTGGATTTCAGACAATAGGTGATCCCTGGTGGTTAAGTGACTTTCATTGGTCAAACAATTCTCACTAGTCAGGTGATCTCTGTTGGCCAGGTCATCCTTCTAGGCAGGTGCCCTTCATTGGTTAGGTGAGCTGTGCTAGTCTGGTGATCTTCCTGGTCCAATCAGCTGTGGTGGAGGCAGGGGCTGGATCATAGGGAGTTTATAAACACGAGTATCTACCACCTTCCCCCACCATTGTGATTTGGGGGTAGAGGTTGGATTTCAGAGGTTGAGACTTGGTGTGAGGAGACCCCAATAGGTGTCCTGCATAGAAGGATAATTCATGGTAAGTACACTTGTACAATATTTTAAATCCTTTAGTGAGACACGTACACTGTGGTGTCAATGGGAAAGCTGGACTTAGGAGTTAGCAACCTTGTAATCACTATGGTAGTTTATTCCTCAATCTGAACCTCTCTGGATAAAAACACAAAGCCGGGTGCTTTTTCTCTCTGCACTGATTCCAGTCACACTCTCTCAAGCCTCACATGCTGCCTGTTAAGGATTCCTTGAATAGGTGTACTAATTTGCAGCTATTTGTAGGGTCTTGACAAGCCCCGGTTCAGTACAATTTAAATTCTAACATCCAACTGAAAGCCCTCCTCCTCCCCCCTCCACTTGGCCAGGCTGGAGTCCAGGGGTCTTGGAGTGGGGCTGGGTGCGTGCATGACCCCGCAGGGGTGTTACATCTCCTAGCTCTTCCTAAGACCTCTGACTTGTCGAGGCTTCGAGGAGGGAGTTGGGAGAGGACATGTATCTTTCTTAACTAGTGCTGCAATAGTCCCCTCTTAGGTCATTGCTGTTTCTCTGACCAGCACTGACTGACTGTGGAAGCCCTCAGTGTGATAGTCACACAAAGACTGGCTCTTCCTAAGCGTTCCCCTAAATGGTTCTCTGAAGTCCCAGGATTCCCTAATTCCCCCTTCCCCATCAGAAATCTGGCTGTACCTCTTACTCTATTAATTCCTCTCGGGCCACCTCCCTAGAGGCTCACCTCACAGTCCCCTCCCCCGCTCAGCAGATGGTAGAGAACTAGCAAGAACGTTCAAGCTCAGCTGCCTTCCATGGTGGGCATCTGACCCAAGGAAACCCAACATCCTTGCTTTGCCAAACCAGAGGCCTGCTGCCGGCTCAGGCCTCTTTCCTGCTTGCTATTTCTCCCTGCTCGCTTTTCCCCTACATAGTCCGGATAGCTAAGCAGATGTCCAACTGTGAGAGAGGTCTGCTCTCCTTTCTGAAGGCACTGCAGTTTCTACTACAGATTTAGCTTAAACCTTCTTCAGTTGATTTCAGGAAGAGAAAAACAACACCCTCTTTCCCCTCTCTGGGGCAAGGAAAGTTCTAGCATGCTCCTAATACAATGCCTCATATCTTGGCCAATTGCATCCCTTTCCACCATCCCCAGGAGCAGTCACTGTTGGGTATTGGGCATGCGCTAAACTTATTAACACAATTCTTACATCAGTATAATAAGGTACTTTGAGAGCAGATGCAAAATTGAGATACTAAGGTTAAAAAGCTTAAGAAAGTTACATAGCTAGAAGCAGCAGAGCTAGGATTTGGAGCAAGTCAGTCTGACTTTGAGGCCTCTGCTCCAGGTGTGAAGCTTTATGATGTGGTGGAGCAGGCAGGGGGAGTATGGTGCTGGGCTTGGGTTGGCGGTAGCAGAGACATGTGGCTATCTCTTAATGGCCAAGGATTGTCTGGCTTCCAGGTGTTCATGTGCTTTTTTTTTTTTTTTTTTTTTTTTTAGAATTTGAAGCCCTAAGTCCTTGCCTAGCTTAGGGTCTAGTTTTCTACTTCTAGAATAAACCTTTTTTTTTTTTTTTTTTTTATGATCAGTTATTTAATTAGGTTCTTGGCAAAACAATCTAGAACACCAATTTGTGAGGATAAACTCCATTTGTAAGGGCAAACATGGATCGCAGGTAGCCCTGGAGCTTAGGAACAGCTTTGATTTTTGGTAAAATGTGCGAGTCCACAGTTTTCTGATCACCCTTGCACTGCTCTGAAATCTTGTATTTCTCCTTCTCTGTGTTGAAGCTCTCATCTTCCTGGTGTCTGGGCTTCTGCAGTTTCTCTTTCTTGAAGTAAGCATCGGTAAGGTGCTTTGGGATTTTTTACTTTGCTAATATCAATTTTCGTGGAGGTGGTAATGACAAATTTCTGGTGTGCTCTGTGCAGTGGAACTCGATTGAGAACCAGCGGTCCAGTTACAAGTAGCAAGCCACTGCTCAGCTGCTTCAGGAAAACCACTCTCTTGCCTCTGTGGCATCCAGTGAGGATGATCAGATGTCCCCAGGAGTGATGCTAGCTCGCAGCTTTCTCACATGCTGACCGAAGGGATTTTTGCCATGGCTCAACAGCTTTCGAGGCACATCTTCAGTAGGATAATAGCTAGGCATTTTGCACAGTTTAATAACCACCCGGGTACCACCATTCTTGTCTCCACCAACCGGTTTTGTGACAGTCTCAAGAACCTTCTCCTTTTTCTTTTTGATCCTGGATTTAGCGGCCAAGTATTTCTTCTTGTACATGGCCTTCCTGGAATACATGGCAGACAGGGAGTATCTGCCGATGCCCCGGATTAGGACCAGGTTTCAGCTGCAATGGGGGTTCCCCTTCTTGGGCTTTTTAGCCTTGTGGGGGGTCACCCTTTTTAACCTGGCCACTGGCATCAGCCTTCTTGGCTTCAGGTTTCTTCTCCTTAGTATCCTGCTTTGTAGCTTTATCACCTGCCATCTTGTAAAGTGGGAAACTATTTTTTTTTTTTAATACCTTGAATGTAGCAATATTCTAAAGGAGATCTGCCATGACTATATGACAAAGGGACTCTTAATTTAAAAAAAAAATGCTCCAGGGGACCAGCAGTTAGCATAATGGCTATGTCACTGGACTCCCATGTAGTCGACCGCGGTTCGAGTCCCGGACCCGGTGGCTTAAACTCATGCCGGGCACGTGTGCGTGTGTGCCCAAGATCCCAAGAGGAGAATAGAGGAGAAGGGATTCCAGCATGGCCATCCCCCCTGGGGGGGGGTGATTTCTTGCTTTCTGTCTCTCTGTCTGTCTCTGTCTTTCTGGTGAGCGCACGCAGCCTATAGTGAAAAGCTCTCCAAAAAAAAAAAAAAATTGCTCTAGCATGTTTGACATCTGGTTTTCCTCAATGTGCATTTTTGGTAAACAAATTAATTGATTTGTTAATTTTATGGGGGGAGTATTTTGAGCAGATCTGGTTCAGCAAAGTGAGGGACAGAATTTAGGGAAGAAAGCAAGTTGAGGAATTGCTAAGGCTAATAAAGACTATGCCCCTCCCTCCCAACTTCAAACAAGGGTAAATAAGAGTGGAAGGCAATTAAGTTAAGCACCAATAATTTGTCTAAGTCCTCATATCAGTCACTTGTATATTAATATAGACACAATTTGAAAACCTCTTGTAATTCACCTTTGGAGTGCATTTTCTATTTGCTTTGGTTCTCGGCGGTAGCCCAGGAATTGAATTTACAACCCTCCTCACTAGCACTTTATAGAGCAAGTCATGCCCAGAGGATTCAGTCATCTCAATTTTATTCACTGAATCAGGAGGAAGTCAACATCTTCCTACCTTTGGGGGTTGGAGTCTGTCAGAGTGAAGTGAATGGAGGACCATATCAATCATTTTTATTTATTAACAACCAAACCAGAAGTAATAACATTACTGGGGCCTGATGAGCTAATTTTTGCTCACAGGAAAGCACTGTCTCAAAACCTGGCTCACCTGATTCTGCCGATGACTCAACTTTGAAGGGCACCTTGTTCCAGAAAGTGATTCATGTAATAACAGCAAGTTACACGTGTCACAGGGATAGGTGGCTCTTTGGTGCTGTCTTTAAGACAATGCTTTGCTATCTTTTCTGGTTGTAATTCCTGACATTGTTTAGATCCCTTCAGTATAAAGAGCTGTCCTGTTTTGATAAGGACATGGTTAACTGTTGACATTTCTTTCTCTTAACTTGGCCATTTTGACGCTCAAGTTCCTGACTATAGGAGACTTGGGGTTAAAGGAAAGCTTGATTGCAAGCTAACGTTAAATGGCTTCAAAATTATGAAATGACTTCTGTTGACGAATATGAACATAACTTCAGTGTGACATTATTTTTGTGATTTTTGTGTGTAGGTTCTATGGGTGACATGTAATGATGTCTGTTATGCTGCTAGGCCAGGCTCCATTAGTTCTGTTTTTAGTTATGATTGATTTATATTAACAAATTTTCACTTTTTTACTGGCTGCTAGCACTTTAGTCTTAGTCTATGACACATGGAAGGTGGGGTTATACCTGAGTGTATAGGATCAACCAACCTACCAGGTAATGCATAATTTCTTATGACGCAATATTCTTTTTTAAAAAATTTATTTTATTTATAATAATTTTCATTCATTTTTAGAGAGATTTTTGCTATAGGTCACATGCACTCACCAGACAGAAAGTAAGCAATCACCCCCTTGGGGAAGATCACACTACAATCCCTTCTCCTACATTCTCCTCTCAGTATCGTGGTCATTCACACACATGCACCTGGCGTGAGTTTTTTAATTACTTTATTTTATTATTTTCTATACATTCAATAACTATACATTACTTGGCTTGCAAAGAGAATTTACCCAACATGAAATATACCTCAGACTCGTCCAGTTGAGAATACTATACACATTATCAACAGGTAATAAACCATGTGACACCACAAGTATCTTGCCTCTCTATTTTCCTCCCTAATTCCTTTCCCTATATTCTTCCCCTCTTCTACCCTCCTTCCACCTGTCTCCAGTGTCCTTAACTATTTTCAGTGCTTTTATGTCCTCCGATCTTTCAACCTCTACCATAGAGTGTGGTCAGTTGGTATATATTCAGTAGAGACATACAATATCTTTCTTTAATAGCCTGGCTTTTCTAGATCTGTGAAGAAGGTCTTTGACTTCCTCAGCAATAAAGCTTCCCTATTCTACCTCTTTCTATAAAATGCCAGGGTCCTGTTTTTTATGGCTGAGTAGTATTCCATAGATATATGTGCCATACTTTTTCAATCCATTCATCTGTTCATGGACATTTGGGTTGGTTCCATGTCTTAGCAATAATGAATAATGTTGCGATAAACATTGGTGTGCAAGCGCTTTTCTGACTGAGCATTCACCTATTTTTGGGTAGATACCCAGGAGTGGAATTGCTGGATCATATGGTAGTTCTATTTGTAGATCTTTGAGAAACCTCCATATTGTTTTCCACAGTGGCTGGGCAAATTTAGATTTCCAAT